GCGTTCGGGGGGGGGGGTTATAGTCGGAGGTTTACGGTATCGGCTAAACAAGCTCAATATCCTTTTTTCTTAAAATTTTATTGAAGGGAATAATCTAAGTAACGTTCCATAGAATTTTTTAAAATTGAAGAAAAAAATCATTATACGAGAAAGATCTTTTATGCAAATTTTTAAATTTTTAAAACGGCCGGAAAAAGACAAATTTTGAGCTTAAGAGCAGATGTCTGTAAGAATCGAGATTCTCGCGACAGTAAAGAAAAACCGAAATTCTGTTTCTTTCACCAAAACATTCTCTTTAGGGAACTGTTTCAGAAAATTATATTTAAAATCCTGGATAATTTTTATTTTGTTAAATTTTCAAAAATTTCGAAAATTTCCAAACTTCAACGCGCTCGTTTACCCGTAGTGAGAAAGGAACAAAATTGATATTAAATTCGGTTAATAAACAACTCAAAAAGTTGACTTTCAGCCAATATTTATTTCTGTTCGATGTATGTTTAATTTGTTTGGGGCATTTTCTACGATTGACTATTGACAGCAAATGAACACGTGTAAACAATGCTGATATTCAGAAAGCCAAAACTTCTTCTGGTATATGTATTTCGGACACAAAGCTTGCACTATTCTAAAGTTTAGTTATCATTTTATTCATGAAAGAAGTTTTAAGCTTTGGAAATTCAAAGAATATCGCTCTAAATTATAATTTCAATTTCACCCATTTATAACGCTTCCCGATATTAATTCAAGAAGCGCTTCTCCAACAAAACAATGTTTCCTCCCATGAATTTAGTAAAAAACTCTTTATAACGCCATTAAATGATAACCTACGTTCTAGAATAGTAATACGGATTGTAACTTGTGAGAATAGTGGTTACCGAAATTTTTTGACCTTTTGCGTACTTGGTCTACATGCATCAGTAATCACTTCAGTAATTAATTATGTCAAATCGGTTTGAAATCAATTGTTGAAATGCTTCCTGATTTTATTCATACGCCGTACTTCACATGTGCCGAATACATTAAAAACAATAGATAATGAGGCATTTCAGCTCATTATCTATTGTCTTTAATGTATTCGGCACATGTGAAGTACGGCGTATGAAACGGGCCTTAAACACAATTGCTGATGAATAAAAAAACAGCGATTAAATCATTTATCAATATTAAAAACTAGAAAATGTGTACTGGAGCTTGTTCTAGACGGGGCGTTGTAAGGTCACGCAGTCTTGTTTTGATAATGATATATTCTTGCAATCTTGCAATTGCTTGTTCGCTAATATTGCATGCACAGAAGTATCGCGAATCGCAGGCAGATTGGTATGGTAAACGTGGTAATTCGTGGCATATTTCAGTAGTTCATTACCGGATTAACAAGGTGACACACTGGCAAGCATTCATCCATATCATACAAAGCTTTAGCCAAGATAGCTATGTCGTTGTTGCAATCATGCAAGATGTACTAGCCACTTTGAAGAGTGAATGTCCGCAGATAAATAATGTGTTATGAAGTTTGACACTTTAGTACATTAATTTCGCTATATTTGGGATTAGTTGATTAATAACTTTATCAGAGGAGGTACGACAAGCAATTAGCGAGTTGTCACGTGAGCTCTCGACCAATGAGATCGCTCTATTTTCCATCGTGTTATCTGCAGAATTTGGACAGAAAAATTTGCATTCGACGGAAAATAAATCGGAAAAAAATATTAATATTAAAATTTTCTTGCAAAATTTCAAGTGTAGTAGTACTACGGCTAAAGATCTGGTGATATCTGCAAAAATCTCTGAGGTAAATGTTATTTTCAATGTTATTTTGATGTTTGAAGTTAGTCGACTCCCCGCGACGTGTTGACTCAAGTCTAAATATGTTTACAATGTCTAAAATGAAATATCTAGAATTCCCATGGTTCGATTTTCTTCATTTTTGGTAGTCATCAAGACAAAAGTATAAGCTTTAAATCTGCTGGAATGATCCCGGTGATCCCCCGGCAGTTTTCGAGATATTGACCGTTGAAGTGACTATTGTCAACTCGACGTTCGCTAAAATGGCGTCTAATACCTTGGAAAGAAAATGTGCCATCAAAGATGATATTTTCAATGAATTTTTGTTAAAGTGTTAAAATATTATTTAGAAAACTTAGGAGTTGTTTTCATATTTTTTTAGAATTTGTATCTGTGCGATTTTCAAAGTTTTGTTGTCTTTGGCCGACGCGACTGGATCGTGTACGTATTTCAAGACGAGCTGATCGCCTGATACTGGGGTTTTTGTGGCAAATGGAGCTGCGGAATCCTCAGCATGGACAAATCAGTGTCATAACAGCCCATTTCAAGCCAGCAGAGAGCTTCACTTGTTTTAAAGCAATAAAATAAGTTTTTATGTATCATATAACAAATTAAGTGGCATGTTATTGTGGGATCTTTCCCTGGTGGCAGTGGTTTCTGAGCTGAAGTGGGATCTCTGATCAATTTAATAAATACTATATAAATAGACATCTTGTTTTATTGTTGCATTAATTTTAATCTGAAAAAATACTCACAAAGTAGGTCAAGTGTATGAATAAATATTAATTTATTTACTAAAGTACATTTTTTACAGTTATTAGTCTTATTTGCATGAGTGTCCATGACAAATTGGTTTAATTAGATATACCCAGTATCATTCATAACCTATGGTTTGTTTAAAAATGCTGGAAAAACTAAAAAAGTTAGCCAATTGAAATAAATGCACTAATAA